ATCTATTCACAAACAGCTTGTAACACTCCAAAGAGAAAGGAAAATTTGAAATAGCATCATATGACCCCTTTAATGGACAATTTTGACAGTGTGTGAAGGAAAGATTTTTAGATTTAAATTTTTTAATGTAATGTACATTTATAATACTATACTTTGTGTTATATTTCCTTGACTTTAAATGAAAGAAAACTAGTTAATGCTGCTGCATGAGTTTTTATTTACATATATTTCAGTCATGAAATTCATAAAAACACTATGTTGGATTTTTTTTTTTCTTTTGCTATTGGGGCAAATGGACACGCAAAAATTATATTCGCTGTAGTGTCTGTTCCTGTCAATGTAAGTTTAGACTGCTAAAAACCCCGGAAATGTGAAAAGGGTCCATGAAGACAGGTTTTAAAAGTTTCAAATGCAAATGAAATAAAATGTCCTCTGGTGTTAATTTCTGTTGCTCTTTTCTATTTACTCTCTCTTTAAAAAAGCAAACAAAAATGAAGAAAAAGAAAGGCATTTGTGCATTCTTCAAAAGAACATGGCAGGTTGTAAAACGCGCCAACTTCGGTGGCAACAAAGTTTCACCTGATCCCCGGTCTGGTCCATCTGGTGTTGAGCCAATGGATCCAGCAGATCCACAGCCAGATCCATCCAGCCTGGAGCCAACAGCTCTCTAGGATACAGCTGATCCACAGCCTGGCCAATCTGGCCTGGAGTGGATGCTTGTTCCAGGTCCATCCAGTCTCAGGCCGACTCCTGACACAACACATGAACCACTTTCATTTGCCTCCCTATATGAAATGGGACAGAGACTGGGAATAGGACGTTTCGGTACTGTGTTTAAGGGGACTCACACATCTGATGGCCAGCGGGTGGAGCCACTTTTACAGTATTTGTTCACTTTTCACTTGCCCAGCATTTTTTGGTGAATCTGACTTATATATTAGCATTCACTGTTTTGATAAAAAAAGCGTGAAATAGATGACAGATTGCATTTTGTCATTAACAGGAATTTCAATGTTTATCCCAGATTCAGATTTAATATGATTAGTGTATGCATGCTTGGTCATTTTTTTCTCTTTGCAGGTTGCCATCAAAGTCATTCCTAAGCATAAGGAGGATGATTATATCGTTATTGTAAGTTGGCTAAATGTATTACTACACCCAAATAAATCAAACATAGTGCATTAAATACATAAAACATATTTAGCTAACCTTTTGTTGATTTTTCTCTAGCCTGGCTATTCCAAGCCATTGCTCGTGGAAGTGGCTCTAAACCTGCGGGTGAAAAAGTCTCCAATAAGCCCCAACATTGTCCAGATGCTGGACTGGTTTGAAGAGGCACATTGTCACATCCTGATCTTGGAGTATCCGCAGCCCTGCATGACCCTGAACACTTTCCTTAAACTCAACAGACGTCGCTTAGATGAAAATCAAGCGCCTCGCTTTATGCTCCAGGCAGTTCTCGCAGCCAAACACTGTATGGACCGTGGTGGCGCCCATAATGACATCAGGGTGGACAACGTCCTGATCAATACAGACACGCTGCAGCTCAAACTGATAGACTTTGGCTGTGGAGAACTTATTGAAGGTTGTGATGATGAAGACAACCAATACAGAGGTGAGTCAGCTTACCATTATGCTCTATGATGGCAGAATGAGTAACTGTGTGTAGAAAGTAGACGAATGCTTCAGAGATATATCATTTTTTTCTGAATGAAATGTTTGCTAAACTCTGAATCTCTCTTGCTTGCTTGGTCAGGACATGTGGTGCCGGAGCTTTATGTGGTGCACAAATGCGCGCTGAGCGAGACGGTGTTGTCTCTGGGAAACCTCCTGTACAGGATGGTGGAAGGCCAGTCTGCTCTAGAAAATAATCAAGAAACACCAACATTAGAGCAGCTGTTAGAACATGAATGGTTTAAGCAGGGAGAGGATCAGGAGTAGCTCAGGAGTCAGGTAACATACTATCTGAGATAAGTCAGATGATAGGAAACAATATTTGAAATAATTCTTGTGAATTCCAAGACCTTTTTATTTGTTTAGTTTTTATTTATTACTAATTTATTTATTAAGCAGATGAGGAAATGTTTCAGAAAGGAGAATCCAGATATTAAAAAACAAACAAACAGAGGAACAGCTTTAGTGCAAAAACAGGGCAAAACATAATTTAATTTTAATGCAAAACATAATGTAAAAGTAGCACACACACACAAAAATTAACATTGATATCATATTTCCATTTAACGTTTTGTGAGAGTCATTACTGTTCCTTCATTCTATACTATATTGGATAAATTATTCATACTATACTATATTATATAGGGCCCCTCCCAGGTCAGTGGTAAATTTACTACAAAAAAAGAAGGAGCAAATGATAAGTTTAATAAATGTTAGAAAAAAAGGGAAAAAAATATTATTATTAATATAATAAGTATTAAAAATAAAATAAATCCTTATATTTTGAATGTTTTTAAATTGATATGCTGATTAATTAGTCTAATCGCATATGTGATGAGAAAAGGAAGAAAAGCAAGTTCGGCAAAAGATGGACTTGAACTCCTACTGATTGCATCATATGCTACATCCAGGAGCATTATTGTCCAACCTACACCACTGCAGACGCTGCTTGACACTCTCCAACGAGATAATACGAGTTTATTCTCAACATTTTATTTCAACTTTTTTCTCGAAATTTAACTTTTTTTTTTTCTCGAAATTTACCAACATTTATATGCATAATAAAAAGTGTAAGATTACCAGAATAAGCACTCAAGGTCTGAAAAAATAAAAAATAAATGGGTGACACGACTCCACTTCCTTCCACTGTAGAAAAGTGTGTCCTCATGAAATCCACAAGATCCAGCAGATGTCACTGCCTGCATCTCAAAGCAGCTGGTTGCTTCCCAGTGTTTTTTTTTTTTTTTTCATGCATGCATGCATCATTTTTTCTCTTGATCGAAATTTTTCCTGAGTCATTATTTTCCTGATCCAAATTATATTGCTTTCTTTGGACCCTTTTGGATCTTTTGGAACTGATTAGTGTGTTGTTTTACTTTAACTTAACCAAAAATGAGCCATGTTTAGCCTGCTGGTAGATGATTTGCCTTAGATCTCATGTAGTGAACGGCTCTTGTTAAGATCCACATTCTGGAAATTATTTATTCAGTCTTTTACTTCACAATCAGCACTGCTACTGGAATTCACCAGGACAATAAAGGAAACTATCTGGAAACCTCATATACTGTATTAACATGCTTTGTTTTTGCAGGACCATTTTAACCTTTTTATGAAGTGGGAGAGAGTTTTGGATTACATGAAACTTCAGCGTGTGGCCTTATGCTCCAAGCAGTTTTCACTGCAGCTCAAACTGAGAGACTTTGGCAGTGGAGAAAGTTTAAAGCTACATAATAAATAAACTAAGAAAACAAAACAAATAGATGATTATATTCATTTTCTGAAGTAAAAGGAAACACTTCAATAATTTCTTACATTTTTTTATATAGTTTGAAGTTGTATGAATCAGAAAGTTAATAATATTGACCAAGTAGTTGATTTAATTCAAAAACTTAAAATAGGAATCTGTTTGATGTTGAATACTTTTGTGACTGCAGACTGTATAAATATACATAACATCTGCATGTTACTGTGAATATTCAGTTGATTAGTTAAACTTAAACCAGAAGGTAAGAATTGACAGGTTAAGCCAAGCACACAGCTCAAGTTTGTTTCTATTGATGTTTTAGCGTGACAAGTAGTGTCTTGTTGCACATGCTACGACAGATTTCAAACTTGTGTCAGGTGGTTGACTGGTCTTCAAGTGGGCGCACTGTTTCTGTGTATGTGGAATTTTATGAGAATTTTATTAATTCTTGAATTTTTGTTTTGTAGCAAATTGGACATAAGAAGACTATAGATAGTCGGGACTGCTGAGAGGATTTGTGGTGCTCTCTTGCCCACCGTCCTGGACCTACTCCTGGAGAACTTAAGTGTAAGGAAACAGGAAGGAAAAATCACTACAGACAGACTCCTGTCAATGATTTATGTGAAGTGAAGAAAGACACAGATTAAGTTTTACTGTTGGGGGTGAAGTCCTTCTCTCAGACTCAATATAATCATCATCATAATTCCTCCCACATTTCTTGCCAAGGAAACATTTCCAAACATTACAATATACACACCACTTTTCAGACAACAATTGTTCAGGGCTTTTGTTAACAGGAGAACTTTATGTCTTGTATTTTCACTAATGCCAACTCTGGAACTCTGAAGTGAGAGTGACATTATTTAATAATTCCATTCAGCAACGTTAACAGCTGGAGGAAGGAGGATGGAGAAATGCCTGGATTTCAGCGTTGGCCCATCTATTGCTGTTTTCCATGTCTGTGGGGTAAGTGTATGTAAATGGCCTCTTTTAAAAATGGCAGGTGGCAGTGTTTTGTATGGCATGCATTTGGCCAATCAAAGTACACAATAGGTAGTTCCTATTGTTCTGGATTTGACCCTACTCTGAGTAGGAGCTAATTTGGTCCTCCCAAAAGACGTTCCTATAACTAAAACCATTCCCAGTTCCTGCGGTACAAACACGCCAAAAAGCAGGTAATTATAGAAACTATGAAAACGTTCCTCCAGTGCAAGCTGTTAGATGACCAGGGGTCTTCATGTGCAAAGTCTTCATGTGGGACCCCATGTGCAAAGAGATGAAAATATGATAATTGAACTGGCAGATAAAGGCATTGTCATAATGGACAAACGATAGTATGCTGGAAAGAAATAAAATATTATAAATAAATGCATGACCCCTTTAAGGTTGTCATAAGACCTTTATATCTTAAAATCAAGAAGGCTCTGGCGACCTCTTACACTTGGTGGTAAATTAACAAGTGAACATAGCATGACACATATTTGTATATGTCACACGTTTACAGTAGTCATTTTGTTGGTAGCTATATTAGTTAGTATATTAACTTTCCAGTTTTAAAACTAGTTTCAGTAATTATCATCTATCCACGGGGTGGATATTGTAGAAAATTACTTATAAGGTAAGGGGTGGCTTTATGAAGGACTAAGAGTAGCACTTACTGTAAAAAAAAGCACTTAAAAATAAAATTAAAGTATAAGTTACACACCAAGGGGCGCCAATGATCTTATTTAATCATTCAGATGGGACGTTGTGCATCTGACCTGCTGTAGAACCCACTTCCACAGTACTTGAGTATGAGGCTCATCTGAGTATGAGTTTGAAACGGCTCTTGAGTGATTGATTGTACAGTATACAGCGGTTGCATTTCCTCTCGTGATGAAGAACTGAGAAAGAGCAGGTTTGTTTCTTTCTGCCACAATTGTCTTTGTTTTCATTTGCGTCACATAAGTGGACTCGGTCAAACCTCTAAGCGTTCTCAGGGAGCACAAACTCAAATGCTGACAGTCTAAAGCTTTTATCAGTGCTCAAATATTAAATCTGCAAAACCGTTTGAAAAGTCCACCCTATATTTTGTATTTCTGGCTGAATATTATGACACACATGACTCCTCTGATTTACACAAATATAATTTCAGACTCATAAACAATGTCCTTGGCCAATGTCAATGTTTATATACACTGCTGTGAGCAATGACTGCGTTCGATCACTCAGTCACAGTAATACAGCCACATGGGCATAATGTGGTGAACTGGGCTGGAACAGCTTTTGATGAAATAAGGGCCACTATTGTCTATGGCCTTAGAATGGCAAAGGTGGGTTGAAGTTGTTGTGGTACTATTTATATAAATTGTTTTGAGGAATTAATTGACTGATTTGCAAATGTTAAGGGTGAATCGAGAAATGTACCAGTGCCTGAGAGCACAATAACAATTAAACGCCTAGATTCTATATGATCCTCTCATTCAAGTCTATATCATGCTCTGATCCCCAGATATGTGTATGACCCCCTTTTCTTTCTCGGTCCTGGAGGGCCACTGTTCTGCCGAGTTTAACTTGCCTCAGCACACCTGCCTGGAAGTTTCTAGTATGCCTACTAAGATCTTGATTAGCTGGTTCAGGTGTGATTAATTGGCTTGGAGCTAAACTCGGAAGGACAGTGGCCCTCCGGGAACAGATTTGAACACCACTGGTATATAGTAAATATATTATGTCAAAGAGGTTTAGCTGACAAAAAATTGTGGGAATCCCTATGTTACATGTTAATATGAAATTAAGTTAATTTGTGCATTTGAATGTTTGGAAGACAAAAGCGTTCCAAAGACATTGAAATACATGGTTAAATCACTCACTAAAACATCATTCAAATAATAATTAAACTCTGGCAGGAGTTCAATGGATATTAGCATTGTTGCAATGTTAAGAAAACATTCCTTAAGAAACCACTGAAATGATTTGTCAATCCAGTGGTCAAATGTTGTGTGGCTTCTCTATTTTTATAGTGGCTGGTCTGTGTGTTCAACTGCACAGTTCTAGAAAAGAATAATAACGGAGAATCAACAAATGATGAAATATTTACTGCAATTGTGTAAAATAAATAATACCTAATCATGTAATCCATACAAAGTAACTAATTATGAGTATTTTAAAGGGGTCCTATTATGCTCTTTTACAAAGTCTTGATTTTGTTTTGGGGGTGTACTAGAACAGGCTCTCATACTAGATTGTTCAAAAACACAAAAATCACATATTTTACATTATTACAACACCTCTCTCCCCAGTCTGGCATGAACGGCTCGAATAGTTCCTGTATCAAATGAAGGCCCGCCTTCTGAAATACGAAATGTGCTGTGATTGGCTAGCTGGGCCAGTGTGTGTTATGATTGGCTCCACTCGGCGCCTGGTCGGGAAATGTCACGCCTCTTACAATAGCCGCCTGCGAGCTTCAGTGTAAATATTTCGTCAAAATCAAATCAATTTGAGCGCGATTTAAACCCGGATGATTGTAACCACTCTAAGTTCGTCT